CCCCCCCGCCCCGGGGCCCTTCCCTGACGCCCCACCCCCCCACTTTGTCCTCTTCGGATGCCGGGACCATCTCTCCCCCGTCCTCTGCGTCCCATCAGTTGGAAATCTTCCACTTGGTGATGTACCGGAACTACCAGCGGAAGAACGACATGGACGAGCCCCCGCCGCTGGACTATGGCTCTGGCGAGGACGACGGGAAGAGTGACAAGCGCAAGGTGAAGGACCCACACTACGCGGAGATGGAGGAAAAGTACTATCGCTTTGGTATCAAGCCGGAGTGGATGACTGTCCACCGCATCATCAACCACAGGTGAGCCTGTGGCCCGCGGGCAGGCCTGCCGGGCTGGGCCGCTCGTGGTGGCGGCCGTGGCCCCGCGTTCGTATTTGTCCGGGAACCAAACGCCTGCTCCCGCTGGATGACTCCCTTTGGGCCTGTGTCCTCAATGGGGCAGACCAGGAGGAGAGTCCGGGCGGGCGCGACTCTTCTGTCGTCGCCTCTAATCTGATGACACGCGAGTCTGGGTGTCGGGGCATGAAAGCAAACGTGGAAAACGTGGTTTAGCCAGGCCACTGTAGTAGGAGTCCTTTCTTGCCGGGACTTGTTACCGCCCGGCGTTATTCTAGGTGTTTACCCATTTCGTTGCTGCCTTCCGCGGCAGAATGTGAGCTCCGTGAGAACAGGGTCACTTGTCTGTTTTGTTCGTCGCTGGATCACCCCTGCCCGGAACGGTGCCTCACCCTTCATAGGCGTTCAGTCGATACCGATGAGACGAACAAACGATATAGAAGCCCAGGGATGTTTTCTGATAGTTGATTTTTAAATTTTTTTTGAAGTCTTTATTTTGAGAGCGAGCACGAATGGGGAGGGGCAGAGAGAGAGAGAGGGAGGGACAGAGAGAATCCCAAGCAGGCTCCGCGCTGTGTCAGCAGAGCCCAGCGTGGGGTCTGAACTCACGAACCACGAGATCATGACCCGAGCCGCGACCAAGCGTCAGGCACTTAACCGACCGAGCCACCCAGACGGCCCTGATAGTTGATCGTTAAGAAGCCATCCGGAAAAAGTTAGGGCGGTCTTCGGCCATCCTGAGTTCCCCCGCAGTGTCCCGCCGTTGAGGATTAGGTAACAGATGCTACGTGTTTGCTGCTGACCGCGTTTGTTAACGATTTCCGTCTATTTGGTCCGTGTTCTTTTTCTCCTCCTGCTCCCCCTCTTGGCCTTCTGCCCCACAGTGTGGATAAAAAGGGGAATTACCACTATCTGGTGAAATGGAGAGACCTGCCGTACGACCAGTCCACGTGGGAGGAAGATGAAATGAACATCCCTGAATACGAGGAGCACAAGCAGAGCTACTGGCGACACCGGTGAGGGAGGCAGGTCGTGGGCTAGAGGGAGTCTGAGGCCGGGGCGTGAACGCTAACCCTCAGGCTGAGCGGAGGTACGGTAGGGACAGGCGCCCCACCTGGCGTGAGGGCAGGGGGAGCCCGCGCGGGGTTGTCCGGGGTGGGGCCGGTAAAGAGGCGGCGTGAGGAACAGAGGGAAGATCCTGAGTGATGGGGAAGAGGGTGCTGGGGCCGGGGGAGGGTTGGCTCCGGAGGTGAAATCTAAGGGGTGATGGTGAGGAGCCTGGGGGAAAGGAAACGTGAGGAAGTCAGGTTGAGGGGAAGCGGGATGTAGGTCTGGAGGGGTTCGGAAGAGGGCGAACACTCGAGGAGCAGGCCTCGCTCAGACCCGCTCTGTCCCCAGAGAACTAATTATGGGGGAGGACCCGGCCCAGCCCCGCAAGTACAAGAAGAAGAAGAAGGAGCTGCAGGGCGACGGGCCTCCCAGCTCTCCTACGAATGACGTGAGTCCTCCCACTTGGCCCGTCTCCCGTTTCTAGAACCACGATGATGGACAGTTTCCCAGGGGCTGTGGACAGGACTGCCCAGTTTCTGCGAGCTCTCTGAGCGGTAGCCCCTCCCTGCGGTGTCCAGCCTTGTCCCGGGAGTGGCTGGGAATTCTGGCAGTTTGCGAGGAAGCCGCTGGAAGCAGCAGCACGCAGGGCTCTCCCGCCGCCAGCCACCTCTGTCGTGCTGCCGGGGCTGGCTTTCAGGAACGAGGGGGGAGGTCCTGGAGACTAGAACGTTCACAGGCTCAGGCCTAGTGGAGGGAGTCGTCGTCCACCTCCACGTCGGTGCCAGGGCGAGGGCGGAGGAGACCAAGGACCCGAGGGGCCCCGGCCGTCCCCTTGAGTGTCCGGACTCCTTGCCTCCGCAGCCCACGGTGAAATACGAGACTCAGCCACGGTTTATCACGGCCACGGGAGGCACGCTGCACATGTATCAGCTGGAGGGCTTGAACTGGCTGCGCTTCTCGTGGGCTCAGGGCACCGACACCATCCTGGCTGATGAGATGGGGCTGGGCAAGACCATACAGACCATTGTCTTCCTCTACTCGCTCTATAAGGAGGTGCTGGATGCTGGGGCCCCCGAGGGGAAGAGCGGGGAGTGGAGGGCCCTCGAGGGCCGAGGATGGCAGGGAGGAGCGTGACAGCCAGAGGACTGGGGTCACATCCGGACTAATGGTCCCCCTACCCTCGACCCCCAGGGCCACACGAAGGGTCCCTTCTTGGTGAGCGCCCCACTCTCCACCATCATTAACTGGGAGCGGGAGTTCCAGATGTGGGCACCCAAGTTCTACGTGGTGACCTACACGGGGGACAAGGACAGCCGGGCCATCATTCGGGAGAACGAGTTTTCCTTCGAAGACAACGCCATCAAAGGTGGCAAGAAAGCTTTTAAGATGAAGGTAGGCCCCTCGACCTTGTCTTCTCTAAGAGCCTCAGCCCTGTTACTTCTCTGCCCCAACCCCAATTTTAGTTTCTCGGCGCTCTCCCTCCACCTACTCTCACGCTTCTGCTCTCCTGTCCCGGAGACGTAGGGCGTCCATTCTGTCCTCACTGGCCATGTGTTGGTGGTTCGGGGGCCACGTTCAGTAATCCCTGCGTGGAGTCAAAGTTGGAGGACAGGCTGTCTGGCTCCTCTTTGGCAATCACGGCCAGGATGGGGTGTCTGGTAAAGAACAGGGGTGGAGGTCTAGGCGCCTGGGTGTCGGGTGGCAGCCGAACGGACAATGGCTGTGTTGGCAGAGGGAGGCCCAGGTGAAGTTCCATGTGCTCCTGACATCGTACGAGCTGATCACCATTGATCAGGCAGCACTCGGTTCCATCCGCTGGGCCTGCCTTGTGGTGGATGAAGCCCATCGGCTCAAGAATAACCAGTCCAAGGTGAGCGAGATACCCAGAGCTCAGAGTTTTGCTCTACTTCTAAAAAGGAAAGTTCTGGACTTTCTGTGGTCCGGAAGGCAAGATGCCTGGGGACCTCCGGTGGGGAGAGAGGGACAGACTAGGGACTCGGGGCCTCTCATCCTAAAGGGAACCGGAAAAGTGGATACTGTGGTCCAACCACTTGCCACTAACGGGCCTGTTCTCCTGCCTTTCTTTGCCCCACTTTCTAGTTTTTCAGGGTCCTCAATGGCTACAAGATAGATCATAAGTTGCTGCTGACAGGGACTCCATTGCAGAATAATCTGGAGGAGCTTTTCCATCTGCTTAACTTCCTCACCCCCGAGAGGTTTAAGTAAGTGACTCAGCAGGGTGGTCTGCAGAGATGAGAAGTGGAGGGATGGGGAACCTGAGTGGGCAGAGGATTCATCTAAGTGAAGAATGGAGCCTGAGGTCAGGGGCAAAGAACCTGATGGGCTTTTCAGTTCCTTATCTTCTTCTGGCTGCTAGCAATCTGGAAGGCTTCTTGGAGGAGTTTGCTGACATATCCAAAGAAGACCAGATTAAGAAACTGCATGATTTGCTTGGGCCGCACATGCTGCGGAGGCTCAAGGCCGATGTCTTTAAGAACATGCCAGCCAAGACAGAGCTCATTGTTCGGGTGGAGCTGAGCCCCATGCAGAAGTGAGTTGAGAGCCGGGTGACCTGGACCCGGGGCTGGGGTTTGGTGGCAGCTTTCCAGGACGCGGCGACCCAGGGCGCCCTCATCACTGCCTCCTTTATTGTGTGTCTTCCGCGCCCTGGTCTTTAGGAAATACTACAAGTACATCCTGACTCGGAACTTTGAGGCCTTGAATTCACGAGGTGGTGGGAACCAGGTGTCGCTGCTCAACATCATGATGGACCTTAAGAAGTGCTGCAACCATCCCTACCTCTTTCCTGTGGCTGCTATGGTGACGCACGCACTGGGGGCTGATGGCGCGCTAGCTCTCTGAAAACGGGGCGGCGGGGGGGGGGGGGGGGGGGGGGGGGGGGGGGGGGGGGGGGGGGGGGGGGGGGGGGGGGGGGGGCGTGGCACGGAGTTTCTGGGAGGAGTGGGAATGTGCAAGGCGTGGACGCTGGATTTGGGCTTTGGGCATTCTGGGCACAGTCAGAACACGGGGACGGGTTTCCTGATCTTCTCCTCCCTTCTCCTCCCTTTGCAGGAGTCCCCCAAACTGCCCAGTGGGGCTTATGAGGGTGGGGCACTTATTAAGGCATCTGGGAAGCTTATGCTGCTGCAGAAGATGCTGCGAAAGCTGAAGGAGCAAGGACACCGAGTGCTCATCTTCTCACAGGTGAGCCGGTCTGTAGCTGTGTTGACCTCGGGCCGGTCCCTTACCTCGGTCCTGTGGCCACCACGGTATGAGAGGCTAGGAGATCACACCCTGGAGGGCGTCTGGTCTGGCTGCATTCATCTTGGCCTCTGATCCCTGTTCTTAACTAAGGTTGTGGAAAGTCGTCGGCCGGCTTCTTTTAAGCCAAATGGGGAAAGGCGGAGGGTGGGTCATCTGTCTGCTCAGGGTCGTCCCTGGGGCTGGAACTGTTTCTTAACCAGGAGCGGGACAGGAGAGCCCAGAGCTCTTACAAATCCGATGAAAGCGATAGGTCCGCTCTCTGGAAATCTGCACGGACAGACAGTTATGTACAGATTTTCTGGGCATTCGTAGGTTTCCCCGAAACCTTTTGGTGGGTCTCAGAGGAGAATCTCTGCCTCAGGAGACACAATCCTGAGCCCAGCAAGTATGACCAGAACGTGGGGCTTGAAGAACATGAAGAGGGACTGGGCGGGGAGGCAGCACCAGTGGAGCACGGGACGGGGCTGGCGGAAAGTGGAGGGATCGTGGTTGGGGTAAAGACGGGGCCCATCCTGCTGCTCCGTCATTCCAGACTCCGTCCTCTTCTCTTGGCATAGATGACCAAGATGTTGGACCTGCTAGAGGACTTCTTAGACTACGAAGGCTACAAGTACGAACGCATCGACGGCGGCATCACTGGGGCCCTGAGGCAGGAGGCCATCGATCGGTTCAATGGTGAGCGGGAGAGGCCTAGGCCCCACTTTGCGGGCAAGGCCCATGCCTCCTGTGCCTAGGTTCCCAGCATGGCGGGCATTTATTTGCCACCCCGCTTCCGAGCTGGGGGTGCGGTTGTCTGCGGTCAAGGAGTGTCTAGTTAGCAGGTGCCTAACCTCTTTCTCTGCCCCCAGCTCCTGGCGCCCAGCAGTTCTGCTTCCTACTGTCCACCCGGGCCGGGGGCCTGGGCATCAATCTGGCCACTGCCGACACTGTCATCATCTTCGATTCCGACTGGAACCCTCATAACGACATCCAGGTGGGAACTCGCCTCCTGGAGCCTCTGCCCCAGTTAGCAGGGAAATGTGGGCTCTGGGCAGAGAGTGTTGTGTCCTGCGGTCAGAAAGGAACCTCTCGGGGATAGATGAGCCTCCGTTCCCAGGCACGTGAGCTGCGTCGCAGGCCCTGCCACCCCCCGACCCCAGTTCATCCCCACTGTCTCCTTGCCCCTGCAGGCCTTCAGCCGTGCTCACCGGATCGGCCAGGCCAACAAAGTGATGATTTACCGGTTTGTGACTCGAGCGTCCGTGGAGGAGCGCATCACACAGGTGGCCAAGAGGAAGATGATGCTCACCCACCTGGTGGTGCGGCCTGGGCTGGGCTCCAAGGCGGGCTCCATGTCCAAGCAGGAGCTGGACGACATCCTCAAGTTCGGCACCGAGGAGCTGTTCAAGGATGAGAACGAGGGTGAGAACCTTTTCCTGTGGTTTCTGGAAAGCAGCCCCTTGCCCTCACGGGAGCACTTGTCTTCGGAAACCCTTCCAGAAACGCTCCCCTGTGCAGCCTGGGGAGGAAGGTTGGCCTCTCTTCTTACACGGAGGGTTGAAAACAACCACAAATCTCTGGACTCCCGGGGAAAGGGTCTTCTCCCCTTTGAGCTCCTGGGAAAAGGAAGCAGATTGGAGGGCTTTTCACTGACCCTTTGCTGAAGTTCTGCCCGAGGTTCTGGTTGGAACTCAGGGTCCCCTCTCGTTCCCGGTCTCCACCAGGGGAGAACAAGGAGGAGGACAGCAGCGTGATTCACTACGACAATGAGGCCATCGCGCGGCTGTTGGACCGGAACCAGGATGCGACAGAGGACACCGACGTGCAGAACATGAACGAGTATCTGAGCTCCTTCAAGGTGGCACAGTACGTGGTGCGGGAGGAGGACAAGGTGAGAGGCTTGGGGTCACAATGCTGTGTAGCCCGGGCCACCTCTGAAGGGTAGAGTCCCTTATTGGACCTCGAAGTAGGAGGCTCCCCTTCCGCTCTTGTCTTTTATGTGCTCTCTTCCCGTTGCACCCAGCAAAGGGCAGTAGTGGACCTCAGACAGGTTGTTTCCCTAACGGGCGAGAGCAGACTTTGCGGAAGACTTAGGCGAAGAAAGTACCGATAAACACAGAAGGCGGTGCCGCGGTGGCTCTGGGTGAGAGCGAGAGGGACGCAGAGGGCGCTGGAGGAGAGGTTTAGGAGACAGGCAGGTGGGAGCAGAGGAGAAGCACGTCGCTGGTAAGAAGGAAGGAAGGTGTGCGATGCCCAGGAAATTCACGCAGAGTCCAGGAGACTGGGCGGCAGGGGAGCAGGGGCTTTGTCGCGGGGCAGGCACCGGGCGGGCGAAGAGGGAGGCTGCCAGCATTCGTTCTGCTGCCCTTCAGATTGAGGAGATCGAACGAGAGATCATCAAGCAGGAGGAGAACGTGGACCCCGACTACTGGGAGAAGCTGCTGAGGCATCACTACGAGCAACAGCAGGAAGACCTGGCCCGGAATCTCGGCAAGGGCAAGCGGGTTCGCAAGCAGGTCAACTACAACGACGCCGCTCAGGAGGACCAAGGTGAGGACTGCCCCCGACGGAGGAGCTGGAGAGGGCCGAGGAGGAGTCTGGAGGCCGGGGTGCATTTAGAGGGCTGTGGAGGGGCAAGAGTCTGGGAAGGGTCCGCGGGACCTGCCAGGAGGCCAGGCGGCTTTGTGGGCGGCCTCAGCCAGCTGGTGGCTGCAGAGGCCCCGTGTGGGCACCCGGGGTCCTCGCCTAGTGCAGGACCTGTGGGAGTCGGAGGTGAGCAGGGACGAGGCGAGCGGCGAGCGGACACCACGCTGTTCGGGACGTGGCCCCCGAGTTAGACTGCGGCAGTCACCTGGCGTCACCAGGGGGCCCGGCGCCGGAGAAGGGGGGGGGCCTCCAGGCAGAAAGGGCTTATCCCGGGAGCCGTCGCCAACCACTCTGCTGCCTCCCCACAGACAACCAGTCCGAATACTCCGTGGGATCGGAGGAGGAAGATGAAGACTTTGATGAGCGTCCAGAAGGTGGCACCTGTTTTCCTGATTTTCCACCTTAACCCTTCCTGTTTCCCTCCCGGAGCCTTTAAGTCCCCTGCTTTTGTGCAAACAAGTGCTTTTCTGGAGATGCGCTAAAAGGACGAGATAGCCACGATCTCTCCGCTGTTAAAATTTGGAGTATGTGATCACACGGGCTTAGATGGCTAGATGAAAAATCGAGAAAGCTTTACATTCCCACGGGTAACGTGGCTCGCATCGAGTGTCTGTTGCCAGGGTGTTAACGTGCATGGCTTCTTCCAGGCCTGCTGGGTTGGTAGGGCTGAAAGTGCCACGTGACCCAGGCCTTGCCTGGGTTCTGCGTCTTGTGGGCCTGGGGTGCTGAGAAGGACTGAGGGGTGGAGGAGGTGGGGGGCCCACTAACCAGGTCACCCTCCCCCTCCACACACACACCCAGGGCGTCGACAGTCCAAGAGGCAGCTCCGGAACGAAAAGGACAAGCCGCTGCCTCCCCTGCTGGCTCGAGTTGGGGGCAACATCGAGGTGAGAGCCGGGCCCAGGCCCCCGCGTGTTCCTTAAGGAGAGGATGAAGCCGGGAGTGGGGGACCGAGGCCGAGTCGCTGAGGGGAAGGACCAAGAAGCGAGATGCCGGGACGCTCACGGCCCGCTGCCCGCTCGCCCCGACCCTCAGGTGCTGGGATTCAACACCCGGCAGCGGAAGGCCTTCCTCAACGCCGTGATGCGCTGGGGGATGCCACCACAGGACGCCTTCACCACGCAGTGGCTGGTGCGGGACCTCAGGGGCAAGACGGAGAAGGAGTTCAAGTGAGTGCGGGCACGCGGGGTGGAGCCGCACGCGAGGGTACGAGCCGTGCGTGTCCGCTCCTTCCTCTTGGCCGCCACGTGATGTGACCTTACTCAACTGATTCATCACGCTCCCCTGCCACGCGGCGTCTTCTGGCTTGGTTTCCTGGGGCGTGGACTCAGCCTGCCCACCTCCCCTCAGCCGAGCCTAGAGCAGAGAGGCCTGGCTTCCTCCCCCACAGGGCAGGTGGTTAAGACAGGAACCTGGCCCCCGGGCTGGCCTCGCCTCACATTTACTTGGTAGGGGAGCTGGTGGACAAGACGAAGAGCTGACTGATGGGGCCTAGGAAGGACGCACCAAGGCCACGGAGACTGTGGAGACACAAGGGGAGGGGCGGAGGCGGGAGATGGGGTTTGGAGGGCTGGTTGCGGTGCGATTGAGCGGCCCTGGGAGGGCCCCTGGGGCACCCTGGAGGCACCGTGGGAGTTTAGGGTTCAGGGGATGAGGGTGACATCCTCGCTGGCTGCTCGGGTCCCTCCTGAAGCTCTCCTAACCTGCGTCCCTCCCCACGCTCCCCAGGGCCTATGTGTCTCTGTTCATGCGCCATCTGTGTGAGCCCGGGGCAGACGGTTCTGAAACCTTTGCTGACGGGGTCCCTCGGGAGGGCCTGAGTCGCCAGCAAGTGTTGACCCGAATTGGAGTCATGTCTCTCGTCAAGAAGAAGGTACTCGTCTCCTTGGCCAGAGTCAAGCTGGCCACCTAGGCCCCATGCCCCCCTCTGCCTGGCGACCCCGAGTTCTGGATTCAGGCTGGCGGGAGAGGAGACCCGGACGGGGCTGAGCTTCCTGTGTGTCCAGCGCCCGCAGCTGACCCCTGTCCCCCACGGTCCCGGTGCCCCTCTCAGGTGCAGGAGTTTGAGCACATCAATGGGCGCTGGTCGATGCCCGAGCTGATGCCCGACCCCAGTGCCGACTCTAAGCGCTCCTCCAGGGCCTCCTCTCCTACCAAAACGTCTCCCACCACCCCGGAGGCTTCTGCCACAAACAGCCCTTGCACTTCTAAACCTGGTAACGGGGGTCGGGACGCAGGAGGGGTGGGCAGGGAGCCAGCGCCCTGCGGACAGAGGAGTGGGAGACAGCGTGGGGTCTCTGCCTCCTCCCTGCAGCTACTCCGGCTCCAAGTGAGAAGGGAGATGGCGTCAGGACACCTCTTGAAAAGGATGAAGCTGAAAACCAGGAGGAGAAACCGGAGAGGAAGATCGAGAAGGTGGAAACAGAGGTGTGTGGCTGCCTGGCTCCCCCAGAGAAGGAGACAGTCAAGGTGTCCGGAATCTCTGCTTCATCCTGACCCCATGGTCGTCTTCTAGGCCGATGCCCCTAGCCCAGCCCCGTCGCTTGGGGAGCGGCTGGAGCCAAGGAAGATTCCTCTAGAGGAAGAGGTGTCTGGAATAGCAGGAGAAATGGAGCCTGAACCTGGGTACCGGGGGGACAGAGAGAAGTCAGGTGGGTTCATGGGCTTAGGGCTGATGAGGGGCTTCGAATGTGGGAGTTCCCTCTTCCGGGGTCCGGGGATGAGGGTGACATCCTCCCTTCGTGTCCCCTTCCCCCTCCCACAGCCACAGAGTCAACGCCAGGAGAGAGGGGGGAGGAGAAGCCATTGGATGGACAGGAACACAGGGAGAGGCCGGAGGGGGAGACAGGGGATTTGGGCAAGAGAGGTAATGGGTGGAAGGACTGGACACCTGCGTCCCTGGGGAATCGGGCGGTGGAGTCTGGGGGCCAAATGCCTGGGTCCTGGGGGCGGGGGTGCCGTTCCAGGGCCTGTCTGGTGCAGGGCGGGGTCTTCGGGGCTGGGAGGAGCCCCTGCCGAGGTGTGAGCTCTGCCCCGTCTGCCCCAGCAGAGGATGTGAAAGGGGACCGGGAGCTTCGACCGGGGCCTCCTCGGGACGAGCCACGGTCCAACGGGCGGCGCGAGGAGAAGGCGGAGAAGCCTCGGTTCATGTTCAACATCGCAGACGGCGGCTTCACAGGTGGGGGGCTGTCCCTGCCACCTGCTCCTCACTGGGATACGCTCATCCTCATGGGCACTGTCCCCTCCCGCTGTCCACACCCCTCACCTCCGCCCGGCTGCCGTTCCCCGAGTCCTGACGCCCCGTCTCTGTCTTCTGCCCGCTTCTCAGAGCTTCACACGCTGTGGCAGAATGAGGAACGGGCAGCTATTTCCTCGGGGAGACTCAACGAGATCTGGCACCGAAGACACGACTACTGGCTTCTGGCTGGGATTGTCCTGTATCCTTTGATACGAACGCAAGAAAAAAAATAGTTCTCCCAGTCCGGAGAGGGGAGTTACAGAGAAAGAAGAGTCCGCACCCAGGGAAGGGGGGCCGTGCTACACTTTGGGGGAGATCAGGTCAAAGGGAAGGACTGTTTTTTGGTCTTTAAAAAATTTTCTTAATGTTTGTTTAAATTCTTGAGAGGGAGAGAGACAGAGCACGAGTGGAGGAGGGGCAGAGAGAGAGAGGGAGACACAGAATTGGAAGCAGGCTCCGGGCTCTGAGCTGTCAGCACAGAGCCCGACGCAGGGCTCGAACTCCCAGACCGCGAGATCATGACCTGAGCCAAAGTCAGACGCTTAACCGACTGAGCCACACAGGCATCTCGAAAGAAGCGTTCATAGCGCAGCCCATCCCTGTTAAATTCCTTGATGGTCCCTCCCTCGTCACAGCCATGGCTACGCACGGTGGCAGGACATCCAGAATGATGCTCAGTTTGCCATTATCAACGAGCCATTTAAAACCGAAGCCAATAAGGGGAACTTCCTGGAGATGAAAAATAAGTTCCTGGCCCGGAGGTTCAAGGTGGGGATCAGAGAGAGAAGGAACAGCATTGAGGAGGGGGTTGGGTCAGAGGTGGGACCAGGTCTGTGGGGAAGGTTGACGCCGTGAGGGTGGCAGCGATGCCGGGGGCCCAGAGCGGAGCGTGACCTCGTGGCCGTGCTGGGTTGTCACAGTCCATCCCGGTGTGAGGCTGGGGTGCTCTGGGCCGGCAGCGAGGGCAGCGTGGGGCCGCAGCGCTGCCCCCCCCCACTGTCCCACGCTCACCCTCCCGCCGGGCCCCCAGCTCCTGGAGCAGGCGCTGGTGATCGAGGAGCAGCTTCGGCGGGCGGCCTACCTGAACCTATCGCAGGAGCCGGCGCACCCCGCCATGGCCCTCCACGCCCGCTTCGCCGAGGCCGAGTGCCTGGCCGAGAGCCACCAGCACCTCTCCAAGGAGTCGCTGGCGGGGAACAAGCCGGCCAACGCCGTCCTGCACAAGGGTAAGGGCCGCGGCGGCCCCGCGCGGGGGAGGGCCCACAACGCTGCGTAAGTCTTCACCCCGCACCCCTCAAAATCTTCCCACCCCTCTGACCCCTTTCCCCTCTGAACCCC